CCACTATATATATATATATATATATATCCCAACCTTATTTGAAAATTTTAAACATCAACTATTCAATTTCAGAAAGAGGGTGGTGGTGGAACACACAACTGACAAGTTCACTGAAATAGTAGGACGATGATAGTACACATACCTCCCATCCATGCCAACAATTATGACACTGTTCTGTGATCCAAATGCCACAATGAAACGTGTGTTCTCAGGCAAGTGGAACTGAGCAAATGACCATTCTGAGCTAAAATATTTTGGTAAAACTCCTACAAAATGGTCAAGAAAAAATCATAAGCACAAAAAAAAGTATCTTCAAATATTGTGCTATATCCGACCTTAAAAGAAAAGATTCAGAACTATGACTAGAATTAGAGAACAGAAACCCCATATCCTTAGCAGATATGGGCTCTGTTAGAGAAGATGATGTTAATACAAGAATACTTTGCAAGGACTTGATTCTGGAAAAGGGTAATGCTAGGTCAGCAATCGTTACAAATAAAAATAATTAAAAAAAAAAAAGAAGAAGCAAAACTAACATGCAGAGCCATTGTTTCATGTATATTTGCACAGAAAAGTATAACCCTATGTAAAACCAAAGGTAAATCTAATGGAGCTGAAGAAATTGGCTTTTTGTGTGTCATAAAGGAATTAACAATTGGAACAGGGCAAGCACAAACACAAACAATCCTGTTCTAGGGGGTAGAGAGGGTGGTCATCCTTTTTCATGGACGTGGTATCACATTTTATTCCTGGCAATCATATAGAAATAGTACACTTTAGATACATTATTTTATGTCAATCGAGTAATTCCATCAAGTTTTCTGATCTATGTAAGGCCCTATAAATTATCAGTTTAAAAAATCACATACACAATGTTCCCTGTATAAATATTCAAATGAGTAAACTGAATGAATCTCCGCATTATGATAATTCCAAAATTTCAATTGCTCAGCATTATACTTGAGAAAAATTATTTTACCTCTCATGAAAGATAATGATGAATTGGGGTTGGCACCAGTATTCGGAGAAATCAAGGGATCTAAAGAACTAGAAGAATTCTGACGAAACAGTGCATGCCCTTGAATGGCATTTGGCTGAGTCAAACTATCCTCCCCAGAAACTCTCACTCTCAACCTGAATACATGAACAGTGCCTTTGTCACTTGATGCTGCCAACCACTGGAGGTCTTGAGAGAAAGCTATACTGTTTATTTCAGCTCTATCTACCCCTCTTCTTACCTACAAAAAGAGTAAATGGTTGGTAGAACACAGAAATAAAGGAGGAAATTAGATAAAGATCAAACCAATAAAGTGACAAGTTTTGGAATTTTTGTGGACAACCCAATACTAGTAACGTGTAAAAGCTTCTTTTTATAAGTAACTAGAAAAACATTATTGTTGTTAGGAGACATCCAAAGCCTCAAAGGATAATTGGTATATCCTAGTCGTATTTAAAAATGATCATTTAGAGTGTGCAAACAAAACAACAAATGGTTCACAATAAAAATGTACCTATATATAAGTGTTTAATTCTAGCGTAAGATAATTTGTTTTGTTTTCCTACTTTCATAAATCATAAGAGGTACATGAATTTTTTTTCTTCAATAAAACAGCATTACCAAAGAAATGCTTTTTAGACGATCCATATTATACTATGCAGATGTGAAAATTAAAATTCCCAAAAAAGCAAAATACAATGCAGGAAGTTAGACAAAATAAATTTATAATGATTTATTACAAGAATAATATCCACTTTGCAGTAACGTACTTCTTGCAAAAGAGACCTGTCCATTGTATTGAAGATTCTAATTAAAGTGCCCTTTACACTAGCGGTTGCAAGAAGGAGCCCATCCGATGTCAGAGTGAAGCATGAAATTTCAGAATCATGAGCATTGATGAATTTTGTCATGTTCAGCCCAAAGTGTTCAACTCGAACCCGTCCTTTGCGAAGACCTTGACAAGCCAAAACAAATGTATTTGTATCGTGTGAAATACAGCACAACCCTCTAGGATTTGCTAGAGTCTCAATCTGATGAAGAAGCTTCAAATCCGTGAAGCTATAAACATATATCTTGTGCTCAAGAACAACTACAATTCGATCATGTCTTAATTTCACTCCACGAACTTCAGACCTAAATGTAAATTCAGTAATGCTCCTGCTCTGATGATCATCCCATATCAAAACTTTATTGGGTGGATAGTGAGAATTAGCTACCGCACCAACAAGTGCTAGAATATTGCAGCGGAAAAGCATCTCTACAATCTTAAAACCACCACATTTTAAATCACGCCTGAAAGTTTCTTTGCAAGGTTCACAATTATAGATTCGAAAACCATGACTTATTCCAGCAGCAATGCAATCATAGTCCTGATTCCATGATATTGAGAGCAAATCTGTTTCATCATTTTCATTCATATCTGCAATAGGCCGGGTAAAAGAAGAAGAGGCTCCACCATTGGGGGATTCACTGTTTCCAATCCTTGAAGTTGGAAATATTCCTTGAGACATTTTAGATGAACTTGTATCAGAAGATGAGGCCCCTGCCAGCATTTACTGCACTCAATAACCTCAGCTGACCAAGGTATAGAGATTAGAGAGTGAAGTACCACAAGGTGATTTCTGTTGTAACAGACAAGAAAATTTCGTTGGCATTACTTGAAACAAATTATTAATAAGACTCTGTTATGTTTAGAGGTTGCAAATTTGGGGATGAAAGTAGTGGGAGGGAATTGATCTAATACAATAAAATGCAAAAAATTGTATTGTAATTGTCTTTGTATATATTCAACAATAGCTGAGCTGAGTGTCTTACTTAATGGTCATTCAAACAGGCTAAAAAGAAATAAATAGGAAGATAAGGTAGTCCACAAGATTGTAGGGAATTCACATCTTTTATGTTTGGTATGAAAATTAAATTTGATTCAAGACTCACAAAGTGATAAACTTTAAAGATTAGATCATTCCATTATTTAGATATGTCAGTCTAAAAATACTGAGCTTCTCTAGACAGATAAACCCACCCTTGAGCCTCAACACAACTTTTCAATTAAAAGAATAATACATGCATACATCAACTCAAGTGACAAGAAACATAAACCCTGTTCATACTCCTCCCACAGCTCAGTTCTTTCCCGCCTCATTTTCTTCATAGCTCGGGTCATTATTCATAACTGCCAATCTGCCATAAACCTAAGTACCTGAGATTTATCTTATCAATAGTTGCAAGTCCTACTAATTCTACAAGCTCTCTGTTTTAATGCACCAGTTCCAGCACCATCAGATCCCCTAGCTGTTATATCTCACTTAAAATGACAACTTTCCAAATTCATTAGACCTATCTAAGCAATAATTATGTCTAGATTTTGATGCTCATCAAGGTTCAAACAGACCAATCATTATAGAAAGAGCAGTTTTATGGCAATTTATCTAGTGTCCCAGATAACCAAAATGCCCATATAACATATTAATAAGATCTAGCTTTCAAACACTGAACATAAGTTGAAAAGCGATTAATTTCTTATGGTTATACAGGTTTAGTATGAAACCAAGACTATTCAGTTAAACTTCAATTACTTAAAAACAAGAAACACTCATTATAAGTGTATATCAATAAAATGCATCATATATTGTTACATCTTGACATGTCTACAAGTAAGGGTAAAAATCTGATTAAGACAAGAGGGTACCAGGGGAAGCAACTCTGACCAAAGCGGCAAATTCTCACTCTTCCCAGCAAAGAAATTTCACTTCATGGAGCCTACACATAACCCATAATCATAAGTTTCAAAATTGAAAAGAAAGATGGAATCTTTAACAACGAAAGAGCAAGAATTGACAATAGCATAAGAAAAAATTGGCCAATTACGAAGCAGGTCTTTTGGCTTTTGGGAAAGAAAAAAAAGAATTGAATATCGGAATTCCAAGTAAAAAGGGCACCATAAAATAAAAAGAATAAAAATGAAATGGCATAAAATGTATGAAGGATGTTACGAAGTGGAGATCAGAATGTTAAGCGTGGGTAAGAGGGTTCTGAAAATCATAATCATAATTCATACCTTCGTCTTTGATTCTTCGCTTTTCATTCGCTTGTATCCTTCCTTCCTTCCTTCATTCCAAGTAAAAGGGGATCATTTCTAGTTTGTTTCCTTAACAGTAACAAATAAAATATAAAACATTAAATAAAAATATATTAATATAAACATGATCAAGAATTATATGCAAAATTAATTTTAATTATTAGAATTGAAAAAATATACACAAAATCAATTTGAACTTTAATTCTTTCATAATTCAAAAGGAAAAAAAATAGTTATCTCATTATAATTTTTATGAATAAAAATAAATATAACTACTATCGACTTGTTTAATATAATTAAAGATTAAATTTTATAAAAGTCATTAAAAAAATATTATGTAAATTAATTTTATATATAAATTAATTTTAGTTAAACTATTAAGGTCAATTTGGTAAAGAGATTTGAGTTAATATGCACTTGATCTTAGATTTAAATCTAGATGTCATCAATGTAATTTTGATGGATAAAAAAATTTAATTTTAGTTCATATTTTTTAAAAGTACTTTTATGAACAGTAAAGATAATTTAAAATATTACAAATACAATCAAAAAATTTAATAAAAAATTACATTGATTTAAGATTTCAATTGTTCATAGTTCAACAATAAATATAAATTCTCAATCAATCTAATTTAACACTAACTTAATAAAAAAAGACAAATCTAAATTTAAATCTAAAATTAATCTTCAAAAGTAATCTGAATCTATTTAAACAAAATTCATAATCATGAAGAATGAAAAATAAATCTAGAACAGAGAAAAAGACGAAGATAATTCGTACGGTAAAAATAAATTGGGGATTCAAATTTTACCATAATTTATAAAACCTTAAATCAAATGAGTGGATTAGTCACACATCTTTATCAAGACGTTACAATTCCTTTGTGTAGAAAGATGTAAAAAGAAAATTTCAAGAAAGAAAGAGAAGAGAGAATATAGAGAAACTTGTACAAGAAATAACTCTACAATCTGAAAAATAAGTGTAAAGTGTACATAACAAGTTTCACAATACCTATTAATGAAGAAATATAATGGGCCTAATTAGAATATTTATAAGGTCTGACCCATTAAATCAATTAATTACATCACTAAACAAATTCAAATATTACATTATAAAAATAAAAAATAAAATATTATGTAGGACCACAAATCCTATCCCTAGCATAGTCTACATCGCAAAATCTCACTAACCTAAAATTATTATTTTTTTCATAGAACAAACTTAGGTTTATAGAACCTGCAAGATATCTAAAAATGTGTTTTACAACTTTAAGATGAGACTCTATAGGATTAGACTGAAATTTAGTACATAGACATACACTAAACATAATGTTAGGTCTACTTGTAGTTAAGTAGAGGAGAGATCCAACCGTACCTTTGTAAATTGTCTGATCTATTGGTTTACCTAATTTATCTTTTGACAGACCACAAATGAATGCATAGGTGTAAGCATTGCACTCATTCATCTTAAACTTTGAGAGAAGCTCTTTTATATATTTATGTTGATGAATGTAGATGTCTTTGTCTATCTGTTTGATCTGAAGGCCTAAGAAGAACTTTAGCTTACCCATCATTCTCATTTCGAATTCATTATGCACTAGCTTAGAGAAATCTTTACACAAAGATTCATTAGTGACACAAAAAATAATATCATCACCATAAATTTGTTCAACTGTGAAATCTGTGCCAAATTTTTTTCTAAACAAAGGCATGTCAACTTTGCCTCTCATAAAACCATTATTTAGTAAAAAGTTACTTAATCTTTCATATCAAGCTCTAGGAGCTTGCTTTAAACTATAAAGAACCCTTTTCAGTTTGATAACATGCTCTTTGAAATCTAGATTTTCAAAACTGAGAGGTTATTTAACATAAAATTTTTCTTCAATAACTTCATACAAAAAAGGCACTACTTATATTCATTTGAAAAAGTAATATTTTTGTGAGCTGCAAAAGCTATAATATAATTCTGATAACTTCAAGTTTGACAATAGGTTCAAAAGTTTCAGTAAAATCTATATCTTCTTATTGATTATAGCCTTATGCTACCAATCTAGCTTTATTTCTTACCACTTTACTTTGCTCATCTAGCTTGTTTTTGAAAACCCATCTTGTTCGAATGATGTTTTGATGTTCTGGTTTAGGAACTAGAGTCCAAACATCATTCCTTTCAAATCGATGCAACTCTTCTTTCATAGCTAGTATTTAGTCGTTGTCACCAAGGGCTTCATCTATGTTTTTTGGTTTAATATCTAACACCAAAGCATATGAGACATTATCTATGAGAGCATACCTCGTCTTCACTCCTTCAATCTTATCACCAAGAATTTGATCTTATGGGTGATGGTTGACAAACTTTCAATCTCTATGAGATTTGGTAGCTTCATCTAACTGATTTGTTTGCCTTTTTGGCATAGTCATCGTTTGATCATTAACATCTAGGTCCTTGGTCTTCTCTATATCTATTTTCAAATCTGTAAAATCCTTCTTCAGATCTAATAGTTTCCTATTAGTTATTAATACATCATTAAACTTCACATTAATAGATTCTTCTACCACAGAGGTTATAGAGTTAAAGACTCTATGCCTTTAAGGTATTTGAGTATTCGAGGAAGATGTCATTGTCCACTTTTGAATCAAACTTTCCAAGTTGATCCTTAGTGTTCAAGACACAACACTCATATCCAAATGGATGAAAGTATGATATGTTGGGTCTTCTTCTCCCTCCATAATTCATATGGAGTCTTATTTAACAAAGGTTTTATCAATAGTCTATTTTGAATATACCAGCTTATGTTCACTACTTTTGCCCATAAGTGTTTTGGCGAAGAGTTTTTGCAAAGCAAAGTTATAGCCATTTATTGCAAGGTTCAATTATTTCTTTCAACTACCCTATTTTGTTAAGGTGTTCTTAGTGAAGAGAAATTGTGAAAAACTCAATTCTTTTCACAAAAGTAGTGAAAACAAGAATTTTCAAATTCAATTCTATGATCACGTCTGATGGAAGAGATGCAAAAACCATTCCCATTTTGAACATGTTTACAAAATATCTCAAATACTTTGAAAGACTCATTTGTGGGTTAGGAAGTAAATCCATGTGTATCTAGAATAATCACCTACAATGATTAAAGAGTGATAGTTTGTCTAAATATGACATTTCGCCAATGGTCTTATTCTCCTTCATGGAAAATAATTCATAGTGCCTTTAAAGAGTGATAACTTGTATGTGTCGGACATCTTCAATACCTCATCAGTTATCCTAGTGGACTCCCACATTTCTTTAACCATAGAGTAGCTATCACTACAAGAAAAATGCTAATTTCTGACAGAAATTTTTGACGGAAAAGGGTAAATTTTTGACGGATTTTCTTTTTTCCGACGGATTTAAATCCATCGAAAAAAGTGGCATCGAAAAAAAAAACCGTCAGAAATTATAATTTTTTTTTAATTTTAATAAATTTATTAATGTAACAGCCCTCATATTTGGCCTCTCAAGGGTTCTATTTTACGACATTTCACTTTTTAGCGTGTTTTATCCTTACTTGTGCAATTTCTGGGAAACTTCCCAGAAGGTCACCCATCCCTATACTACTCCAGGTCAAGCACGGTTAACTGTAAAGTTTTGATGAGTAAGCTACCGAAATGTATATGTGTGTTGTCAATATAATTTGTACAAATTAATTCATTTAAGTTATCCTCAAATATACAATCTCATACTTGTATTATAATTATATATATAATAATTTTATATTACGAATAATAATAATAATAATATATTCAATTATTCTTTATTTATATGTACTTACTTTTATAATTAACATCTACTTATTTTTATTTAAAATTATAATTTAAATTATTTAATTTTATAATTTATAATGATAATATAATTTATAAAATTATAAATATTTATTTATTACATACTTATAAATTAAATTTTAATATTTTAAATAAATTATTAATTAATTTAATATATTTATTTACCTTAAATCAAACATATAAAATTCAAAAAAAAAATGTATTTATCCTTGTTTTATTTTCTAATTATCAACTATTAATAAAATACTAACTTAAAATCTTATCTAATTATATCATAATATTCTCATATCAAATTTAAAACCAGATATTAGTTATACAAAAATATTAAGATCATATAGTAAATTGTCAATAAGATTTTAGTTAAATAATTTAAAATAATTAATGTTTCAATTATATTGTTAATTAGCAAATAATTTATTCCAAAACTAATTAATTTTTTATATATTAATTATTAGTAAAATTTAATAACTTTTAATTTAACAATTAATTGGATCGATGGAAATTCAACACACACATGAGTTATTGAGCGGAATAACTTTACCAAGAGTTATTTTGTAAGTTATCTTAAATCAAACATATAAAATTCAAAAAATGTATTTACCCTTGTTTTATTTTCTAATTATCAACCATTAATAAAATACTAACTTAAAATCTTATCTAATTATATCATAATATTTTCATATCAAATTTAAAATCAATTCTTACATTTTCGACAAATATAAATTTGTTGGAAATATTCCATCAATAATATAGCTTTTCCTACAAAAAAAATTTTCATCGAAAATATAAATTTTTCGATAGATTTAATTTTGTTTTATAAGAAATCATCTTCGATTAATATAAATTTTTATATATATGATTTAAGAGTAAAAAATTTTCAATTTAACGGTTGAATTTACAAAATTCATATTTAATATAAAATTATTAAGCAGTGTAATACTTAGTAAACTTTCAAAAAAAGCGATCATCGAATTCTCGAAGAGTTCAAACAAGGGACATTAGGAAGTGTGCTATGGTCTTAAATTTTTCGACGGAAACAAAAATCCGTCGGAAATTTCTGATGGAAATGTAAATCCGTCGGAATCTTCCGTCGAAAATTTTTCATCGAAAATTTCAAACGAAAATATTCATCGAAAAATTTATATTTTCCGACGGATTCATATCCGTAAAAAATTTTCTGTCAAAAATTTGCGTTTTTCTTGTAGTGTACATAACTTGTTATACTCTGTTCTGGACAAGGAGAAAGCCAAAATGT